GAAAACTGGATTCAAAACATAAACTGAAATAAAACTAAAAAGACTTTTCTATTGTAAACATACTTTTAGTGATAACTATCACGTATTGGAAGAGAAATTTCCCCACAATTTAAAGATAAGAGAATATTGCGATAAAAATATATAATATTATTATAAATATATGTATTCAAAATGAAATGGCATTAAGAATATTAAAGTTTTTATTATTTTTACGATTTTATTCGCGAGAAATAAAAATAATTTGTGAGTGAAATGCATTTCAAAAGATTATATTTCTTTTGTTTGGAACAGAAAACAAAATATAAAAAACAAAACCATTAAACATGTGAAATATTAAATACCATTACGCAGCGTATACTGTAATCATCAAGCTCAATGTCAGAATTTGTTTAACGTTAGCGTATGGCATGTTATGGTATGGTATGTGGGTATGGTGTGTGTATTTATGCCGGTGCCGAGTTTCCTATGTGCCAACTCACGTGTGCCTACTTTTGTTGTACTGTATATCAAATTGATTGCACTCTTGTTTTAGTTCAAACAAACTATACAGAAAAGACTTTCCTTACTTTTACTCTTATTATTATTATTATTACCATTATTGCCATTATTTTTGTTTCAAAGCACACAACGATTGTAACGAAGATAAACATGTATTTCACACAAAAATATCCCAAAAAAATAATAATATCTTACTAACGATTGTAGAGATTTGTCAGTACTTTTCTATATTCCTAGCTCTCTCTCTCTCTCTCTCTCTCTCTCTCTCTCTCTCTCCAATTTAAGAGAGTATTTATATTTCTTGGAAAAATTTAAGATTAAAACTAAAACTCAAATATGAAATACGCTGACAGTCACGCAAAACACAATTAAATATAATAAATAATTTTTTTTGATGATCACATGAATTACATGAATGCGTAAACAAAAGGGAAGTGTATGTATGCATGTGTGGGGTAGGAGAGGGTGAGCGCCGGTATTCTAAATCGATAAAAGTTTTAAAAATCTCAATAAATAAAATGTTTCAACAGAAATCACTGTTATCTAAATTTTACAGATTATCAAATAAATATCACAGTAATTGTCATATCAATATTAATATACAGTATATTGTTACGCATTGTAATGTTACCCTGGTCATCTCGTATTAACTATTTACGTAACTCTCACCGAAATCTCTTGTTGTTGATGTTGTTATTCGAGAGGCACATGACTTCTCTATAACAGCCATTCCCTATGAGAGTATAGCCTAATAAGAATTGAGAGAGAGAGAGAGAGAGAGAGAGATTAAAATGTAAATCAATTACAGTATTATTGAGGGCTAATGAATAGATGATTGAGTAGAGAGAGAGAGAGAGAGAGAGAGAGAGAGACTGGACAGTAAATGATAGGGAGACTATGAGAGGCAATGATTTCCGGGAATGTATTTAAAAGTCATTCACATCTCTGTTTAAATGCTTTTTTCATTTCTAAGTCCCGGAGTCTCTAAGAGCTCACTCGGCATACTATTCACACAAATCACATGTTATTTGTTTTCATAAATGTATATAAAATATATGTTTTATTCAACGCCAGGAGAGAGTGAGTCCATCCCCGGAAAGGGTCGACATTTTTATGGAAATTTATTTAACAAGAAAAGCGAATTTATTTGACACCAGAATATGAAAGACGTTTTTGTCAACAGTCACGGAGTCTCCCCATCGGTCCCATTATTACAGCCCATACAGTCTCCCCTACAATATCTAATATCAGTGTTTAGTTTAGTGTATAAATGAGATAACATAAAGAATATATCTGGATGATTTACGAGTTATTATACAACTGAGGGGTAGCCAATATGTAACTAATTATTAATGAATACACTTTTAATAACTAATAGAAGTATCAATTCTTATTTCTTATGATCAAATAGAAAGTAACACATTCCCATACATTCTATTAATTTGAAAAGTGTTAGCTTGCAACTAATTATAATGTACTGTACTTAATAATGAAAAATTATTACCTATTATAGTAATATAAAACTTATATAAATTGTACTGTACTATATATAACCAGTGTGTGAGGCTGATAATTCGTTTTAGATTATTAACACTTAGGTTACGTGAGGGCCACGAAATCACGGGTATTTTTCTATATAAGGTCATATTACCGTGGCCCTGATATTTATACTTGGTGAAGCCCTCTTAGTGAAAATAGTTAGGCTGACAAAAATAATATAATAATATCTCATATCTAATATGAAAAGCTATTTCTCTGATAGAATGGTCTCTCCTTATAGTGAAGGAGGGTTTGGGTGCAGAAAAGCTCTCCTTTTATAGAGAATTGAAGCGAATGTCATAAGGAATGTGATCAACATTTTCAGACACGACAGACCTTTGCCCGGACTGTGGGAGTCATTCAAATATTTTAGGCATACAATGCCATGAATAGCGGGGGATGTTTTGTGCCCGGATTACTTCAATGAGAGGCAGAGAAAGTGCTCTCTCTTTCTCTCTCTCTCTCTCTCTCTCTCTCCAAATATACGAAAGCCTTATTCCTCAAAAATATCCATAAAAAACAGATGAATGTCTTTTATACTGTATGTCATTCATAGGATATTACGAACTGTTAGTTCGTAAGGGGTATTCAAGTTTGTATCCACACATACACCGAGACTACTGTTTAATGTGTGGGATAAACGAGTAAAACAGATGATCATAACATATGAGAATGTGTTTGGATTCTTGTAAAATCAGAATTTCAAATTGAGTGAACTAGGATTTTGTAAACATGTCATGATATAATATTGTAGTTCTATGGACACTACAATATACCTGTGCGATTCCTGGGTTCCCATTCTAATTGAATTGGGGTTTCCAAAATTATAATAAGAATATAATATGTATTATGTAATTATATTATGTTTAATACTTTAGTGATACAAACAATAACAACAGCACCATTGGTTTCACAATAAATGTAAAAGAACATATTAGGGTAAAAGTGATGTAAAACTGTAAGTGATGGTCCAATATTTTGAATGTTTTAAATGATTATTCTAATACACATACAAAGCATAGGAACCAGTTTTGCATACACTCTCCTAAAACTTATTTTTCCACACATAATACAAATTGAGGACAATTTGGAACCGACACAACTTAATGGAAAGGGAGCCTTGAGATTACTGGCCTTGTCGTGTCACTTCATATGATCTGCCAGTGCGATAGGGCTCACTATGTTTTCTTTTTGGGTGCTATCCATATATGTTCACTGAGAGTGTGAATGAGGGAGAGAATTGTGACAACAAAATAAAATATTTCTCAAACCCAACAGTAGATTATATTTTTATTATACATATTATTCCTAATATACTGTATATTCCCATTTTATAATAATTCCAGCGATTATTCAACTCTTATATAATAAGATATCTCAACAATTTATTTATAAACTTATCTCTCTCTCTCTCTCTCTCTCTCTCTCTCCACTCAATCATCTATTCATTAGCCCTCAATAATACTGTATTTGATTTACATTTTAAAATGCGAACTGAATTTATGATAAAATTTGTATTTTGTTAAAAAATGAAATAAAAAGTCAATTTAGAAATATGTGAAAACGTATTTCAAATTTTACCTCAAATTAGGCCAACGATTGTATTCCTTTGTTATAATTTTGTGAGAGATATAAAATTGTTTAAATAATAATAAGCCATTCAAAAAATTAATTCTAACAGTAATAACGATATATATTATATTATAATACAATTATTAATGGGAGAGAATGTCTAAGTGAGAGATCTTAAGGATATTCACATAGAAATTACTCAACGCTTCAAATCATAAGTTCTGTGCAATTATTCTCTCATTCAATGGGATATAGAATCCCAAAGCACTCCAAATGTACTAAATCTTTAAGTTTTAAGGCTTTTATAAAAAATATATTTTACATTAATGTAATATTGTTTTATATTTGAATTATACTGCATATTTTATTTATTAAGAAAATTGTTACGAAATTGTATTTTCTCTGTAAAAATCAAGTTGATCTAAAAAACCAACATTTTCACTTTGAAAATGATTTATTAGCGAAATGAAAATTGCTTGCACCTTCAAACAATACAGCGATGCGAATACTTTTGAAGTATTATTATAATATTATAATTTTGGCTTTATAAATTACGCTATATTACACTGGCTATAAATACAGGAAATGGTATTCACAATATAAATGAAACCATTTTAATGCAATAAATACGAGGGAATATATAACATTAATATTATATACTATTATTTTTATGTGTTTATTATGTAAATTAAAAAATGCAAAATACATAAAAAGAGTTTATAAATAATTTGTGTGTAGTATAGTTGTGTTGCTAATATACTGTACGCCATTATAACTGGAAAACAAAGTTTAAAAATATATACAGAATATTGAAAAAGTAAAACACCGGCGCTCTGTATACTAGCAATCAGTAATACATAGCATGAATTGAGTGGTAGTTCCACTTTTGAAAATCATTTCCCATTCAATAATCCATTCTCACTCTTATCTAACATAAAATCCCCTCATTTTCACGTGGAATTAATGGGTAAACAATTTCTGTTTGCAACAAAATATATCCCAAATAATAAGAAACTAAGAGTTTTTACTTCATATAAAATATTAATGTTTTACAATAAAATAATAATTTAAGCATAACTTAAACCAAACAAAAAAGTATTTTCTTATTTATTTTGCACACAAAAATCGACAAATTGGGGATCAGAGAGAGAGAGAGAGAGAGAGAGAGAGAGAGAGAGAGTGAGTGAGAGAGAGAGAGATGGAGATATAGGAGGGGACGGGATGTTCTGGGAGGCAATGGGTGAGTGAGGGGACCAACCAATACTGAACAGGCATTAGAACCGTTGCAATGTATTTAAATGCTATGAAAACTGGTATCCAATTCATTGGTTTCACTGAATGTTTAAATACAAGTCTAAAACAAAGTAATTTGAAACACAATTAATTGAATTATGGATCAAATGAAGACTAAACCAAAGGGTCGTTCGGCTAAGAACTCAGTGAAAAGTAAAGGCAATGAAAACCGAAAACCAAAAAACGACCGAAAGATAGAAAAGGATAAATTTGTCTTCATGAGCTGCATATCGAGCGTCTGACAAGAATTTCTGTACTTCTTGAGACGGTAGTCACCATAGTTATCAAAAGCGTGGTGAAAACCATGGTATAGATTGCATTCTTCAAAAAGTTCGAAATGATTAGTTGTAAACTTATTTTGATTGAAACCCAAAGAAACTGAAGCTATCGTCCAATTCATTGCACGATTCAAAAGAGGCTCAAAATTATAAGCAGTTTAATGGGAGCCGGACTCCAGTACTGATGTATTCGCCTTTTGGTATCGAAACTCCCAGCCCTCGGGTGGACCGCAAACACCTCAAGAGGTATTGTATATATTGTTTGCATTATTCTTATGATTAGATATGTCTCTACTTTTGCTCCTATTGTCAAAAGACTGTTAAGTTTTATATTTTACTATATTAAGGGTTGTTATTAATAATTGCAAATAACTATAGCTAAATAAATAACATTAGTAGTCTATTTAATTGTTACTGTATCATATTGTCTTTTATTAACCATCATATGTTTAGACTTAGGATTGAAATTGAAAAATTATTATAATACTTTTCAATTAAATAGGCACAGTACTAAATTTACAGTAGAATTATCACGTTCTATCTATCATCATTATCATACAGACATACCCTTGAAATTTTTATAAAAAAAACTTATAAATGATCAAGTACAATAGATCCAATACAATAGATCCAATGAACCCTCTAAATGAAATTAGAACCACACTTCAGATAAGTATATTTATAATGTCAATAAAAATTCGACCATGGTCATACCAATGAAATGCAATTTATTAAAATTTGATTTGAAGTTAAAAATAAAAGTACACATATTATACACTATTTTGTAAATGTAAATAATTTTGAGTTTATTGAACTAACAAGTATATTTTGAATTAAATTCAAATTGAAATGATTTGATATAAAGGAGTTGTTGTCGACAAATGTTCTTCAGTCCGACGCAGAAGATTAAAGAGGATGTCTTATATCTTAACAATGGTATCAAAGAATTGAATCTATTATCGGAAGGCATTGAGAATCGCTTCTCTCCGTCCAATTCCAGCACTTCAATCATCTTTGACTCCAATCAGAGTCTTATCTAATTATGCGACCAATCATTTGATGGCAAATCAATAAGTTAGTGTTGAGAAGTGCTTTAAACCTAAAAATAAGTTGTGTTTTCAAACTCTTTTATAAAGTATTTATGACTTTTCTACACATTTATATAATTATTTGAATTTTATATAATTAGTGATTTTCATTTGTAAAACACATTTTTAGAGATAAAATGAAATTTGACTCTAAATTAAAAACAAAATGATTGTAAAGTCTTTCAATTTATGCTAATTTCATATAATCTTCAAATAAGTCTCAAAATAAAAAATTAAAGTTTCAATTAAATTAAAGTCGAAATATAATGATAATTCAGTGGTTAAGCGGACACCGAATGACACGCCAATCAAGTCTTCTGCTTCTTCGGCGAGTTGTCGCTTTGGACGGACTCTCTCTTGAGGTCACCATTGGACTCATTGTTGTCATTATTGTCGCAGTTGTCGGGGAACTGGGCGTCAGTGCTGTTGTCCAGGAGACTGGCGCTCATATTGGATGTCTCGTCAGCTATGGAGACCCCCAACTGAGACATCGATGACATGTTGTTGTCCTCTTGACTGCATTCAGAGAATCCAGTGATCGAGTCCTCGTTGGCCGCGGCCAACATCGATGGCGTCAGCGATGAGGTGCGCGAAGAAGTCGACTTCGAGTCGCGGATATTCTCCTTATTATTGTTGGCATTACTCGAAGAACTGCTGGATTTGCTTTTGGATCGAGACGTCTATTGGATCAACAAAAAGACATTGAAATTCAATGACAATCACCGCATGACATACACTTTCATAGTTAGTAATGGGAACCCATTTGTATATCTTCATCGTCGTGTCGCCGATTGTCACCCACTTCTTCTCCCTATAAGACATCATCAATGAGTCCAGTGGTGAGCAACTCATCACTGATGAGCAGTTCCTACCATTTCCTCACTTTGTCGATGGCTTGCATCACACGTTTGATGTCATCCTTCGCGCGACTTCTGGTCTCTGCCCTCACGGATCGTGACATCATTTTTATGGCACTAAAACCAGATGCAAGTGATTGTAATCAATGTCTCATTCAATGATAATTTCACACAATTATGGACTCGATGTCAGTCTTTGTATCAAAGAGACCATCATTTGTGACATTTATTCAACTCATTCACAAATAACGTATACTTTTTGAACACGTTTTCAAGATTTTCAAAACAAATACAAATATTTAAAAGGATTTCAATTTGAAGACAATTTATGGTTAAAGTGATTGCAGTGACAATGGATGCACACAAACCACTTCCCAAGTCTTATCTCATCGCTTCCCGTCTCTTAAGACAAATGGATGGACAGAAGGGTTCTTTGAATTCATTGATAACATCGGTCAATAAGAATGGAAATGTGAGTAGTGTGTGACCAAGGTGCTTTATATCTGATTTTAATTGTTTGCATTGATATTCACTCCCGAAGAATATTAAACAGATTTATGCACTCATAATGAAAACTATTCAGAACCTGAAGATAATTAAGCAAATGGTGAACAGCATAGACACCGACAGCAGTGGTAATTGCGATGAGTTCTTGACGCAGATTCTGATCGCGGATCTAATGTTTGGCAAAAGACTGGAAGGGATACGAAATGTGCCACAAGTGGCACATATTGTCTCATTTGAAAATAAATTCAAACAAATCCTCAAAAGTATTCATTTTCTATATTCTTGTTTACATTTTAAGGAATTAAATATTTGAATGATTGGATCAAATGATTAGATAACACGGGAAAAGGTGGAAGTGCTGGAAGTGATGACAGAGTGATTGTACGGTATATTCGCGTCAATCTGATTAAGACTACTTTGAAAAAAGTGATGCGAAAACTGGTTAAACGAGACTTCAAGCAAATAGAGTACAACAAAAGTGACATCACTTTTGAGCAGTAAATCCAATTGAATTGCTTATAATTGAGACAATATTCTCATGAATTTGTCATTTTATTTGAATTTAGATTCAAAGAACTTGTCGTTAATCTGAAAGAAAATGATTTTCTAATCGATTATGACTTTCAAAATGATTTATTAGTTTTTCACATCAACTCAACCAAAGGATTACAAGAATTAAAACTATTCACTGAATCCAAAATTGTAATGCAAGACAAGGTCTGTATATAAACGCAACACTTATTGAGTATATAGTTTTGTCATTCATTTGTCTAAACAAAGGCCAGTCTTATTGCCGTCGAATGTCTGCAATTAGTCCCCGAAATGACAATTCTTGACGTGTGTTGTGCTCCAGGAATGAAGACCACAGCAATCGCTTCCAGAGTTAAAAACAACGCCACTATTATATCGTACGATAAAAGTGAAGAACGAATCCATGAAATGGAGACAATCATTGAGAAGAATGGCGTTAATTGTTGTCAAATTAATTGTCGAGACTTTACTTCAGTGACTGCTGAAGAATTGTCATCAATAGGCACTATAGACGCTATTCTGTTGGACCCGAGCTGTTCCGGTTCGGGAATGAATAATAGAGTCGACTATAGGAAAGGTGGCGAAGATAAGGGCCGACTCTATAGGTTGGCCTCATTTCAGACACGGATGTTATGCCACGCGATGTCATTACAACCCAAACGAATCGTTTACAGCACTTGTTCTCTGCATTTGATTGAAAACGAAAATGTCATCAAATCGGTGTTCAGGGAATCGGAGTTCGCCAACGATTACAGTGTTGTCCACGCTTTACCCCAATGGCCAACACGTGGTGTCGGAGACTATGAGTTCGCCTCGAAATGCATCCGATCTAACGCCACATCAACGCTAACCAACGGTTTCTTTGTTTGTGTTTTACAGCGAAATGCAAGTGAATGTCATTCAAATGATTAAACCTTTTATTCAATGGATACGGCAATGAGACTAAATAATACAATATTGTATTGTATTATGTAAATCACAGTATGGGTAACAAAATTACAGATTACCGTAATTCTTATTAATAAGNTTACTTTTAGTGATTAATATATTTTAAGTTTATTAATATATTTACACATCTTTTCAGTATTTATGAAATATTTTCTCAAACTTTTGTGTTGAATAAAAATCCAAATTTCGTGAAGAGTTGTGATTGAATTGATTTGCCATCAAATGATTGGTCGCATAATTAGATGAGACTCTGATTGGAGTCAAAGATGACTGAAGTGCTGGAATTGGACGGAGAGAAGCGATTCTCTATGCCTTCCGATAATAGATTCAATTCTTTGATACCATTGTTAAGGTATAAGACATCCTCTTTAATCTTCTGCGTCGGACTGAAGAACATTTGTCGACAACAACTCCTTTATATCAAATCATTTCAATTTGAATTTAATTCAAGATATACTTGTTAGTTAAATAAACTCAAAATTATTTACATTTACAAAATATGTATAATATGTGTACTTTTATTTTTAACTTCAAATCAAATTTTAATAAATTGTATTTCATTGGTATGACCATGGTCGAATTTTTATTGACATTATAAATATACTTATCTGAAGTGTGGTTCTAATTTCATTTAGAGGGTTCATTGGATCTATTGTACTTGATCATTTATAAGTTTTTTTTATAAAAACTTCAAGGGTATGTCTGTATGATAATTATGATAGATTGAACGTGATAATTCTACTATAAATTGAGTACTGTGCCTATTTAATTGAAAAGTATTATAATAATTTTTCAATTTCAATCCTAAGTCTAAACATACCATGTTGGTTAATAAAAGACAATATGATACAGTAAAAATTAAATAGACTACTAATGTTAAGCTATAGTTATTAGCAATTATAAAATATGAATGTATAGTAAAATATAAAACTTGAACAGCCTTTTGACAATAGGTGCAAAAGTGTCTACACATCTAATCATAAGAATAATGCAAACAATATATACAATACCTCTTAAGGTGTTTGCGGTCCACCCGAGGGCTGGGAGTTTCGATACCGAAAGGCGAATACAGCAGTACTGGAGTCCGGCTCCCATTAAACTGCTTATAATTTTGAGCCTCTTTTGAATTGTCGTGCAATGAATTGGACGATAGCTTCAGTTTCTTTGGGTTTCAATCAAAATAAGTTGACAACTAATCATTAGCTTGAAAAACTTCTTACGTTAGATATGGTACCAAAAGTGGTGCGAAAACTATTGATACCACTGATGGCAGAGTTCTTCATGTCTTTAAGAACAGTCTGCGAGCTATACGTCGAGTACTTCTGTTTCTTATCCTTCTCTATCTTTCGGTCGTTTTTTGGTTTTCGGTTTTCATTGCCTTTACTTTTCACTGATTTCTTAGCCGAACGACCCTTTGGTTTAGTCTTCATTTGATCCATAATTCAATGAATTGTGTTTCAAATGACTTTGTTTTAGACTTATATTTAAACATTCAGTGAAACCAATGAATTGGAAACCAGTTTTTATAGCATTTAAATCCATTGCAACGGTTCTAATGCCTGTTCAGTATTGGTTGGTCCCCTCACTCACCCATTGCCTCCCAGGACATCCCATTCCCTCCTTCTATATCTCCATCTCTCTCACTCTCTCTCTCTCACTCTCTCTCTCTCTCTCTCCTCTCGTGAATAAACAAGTGATTGGTTTGTAATGTATTTGTTTGTATTTTCATTCAACACACGTTTAATTTAAACTTATTTTTATTTTATTTGAAACTAGAAATGAAATGATTGGTGAATATAATTTTCAAATAATTCAGTCATAATAGGTCCAAATAATAAACCCTTCTCCTATTATGACTGACACAATTTGCATTTAATATAAACAGGTAAAATAATACAGGTAATATTTAATACAGGTAAAAATAAGTTACGAATCATAAGATATATCATGGACACTAACTTTTATTTCTAAAATACTTTACTGTATTATCATAATAAAGGTTTACTTTAACTAACTTAACTACATGTAGTACTATGCCTGATAAATTTTATATTAGCATTCAAGTAATGAAATTTTACATTCATATGAAATATACCTGTAAATGGATGTAAAATGTGTTGAATTGAAGATTAATAGTAAAATAATAACCTCTGCATGCAATCAATGGACATAACCTGACCATAATATGGTTATATTATAATCAAATCAATTGTTTCACTATCCGCAAAAACTAGCAACAAAAAGTTTATTGAAATTTATTGTTTATTATAAAGTTTTAATTTATCTTAATCTTAAATAATTACTTAATTTGATTAAAAAAACAAATTAATAATTAATAAATATTTACCACAAAAAGACATTAATGAGAAAAGAGAATAAATATAAAATTTTATACATTAATTGAATTTAACTTAAAACCATTTCCTATGGATATATAGGAATATATCGTATTTACTGTATATAAAAATGAGTCAAAGATAGAAATAATTCCATCGTTTCGTCCATTAATTAGTTAAATGTGAGAGAAATGGGAATCAATTGGATAACTATTCATTGGAACCGACCAGTGCTTCATCCATGAGCTCGTCATCAATGTCTGCCATTGGATAAGGAGATGGCCTTTGAATAGAACTGTTTGTCGAGTGATTTGACGGCGAGT